TTAATAAGTACAAACCCAAGCGGTTTCCTTGAATTATAAATATAACAACCCTCCGGCAACAACAGAAATTAGAACTTAATAAATAGAACAAAATAATAATTGTTAATCGGAAATGTTGTCAGTCTTATCGGCTTGGAAGGAAGAAAGGTACTTCAGGCCATAATATTATCTAAAAAACAGTGGGAGATAATCTGTCATAGGCGGACTATATATTTTACTAACCTATTTTAATAGGGTTTGATTGTTGAGAAGGTCCCTTATGTTTAATAATTAAATATTGTGGAAAACCCCCAAGAAATAATCACCATAATCACATCGTACCTATACAACGCATTTAATTCAATTTGCTCTCAGCTAACTCTCCCACTCTCTGCCCTTCGTCTCCCCCCTCTCTCTGTCACCATGTTCGGCAATTTCTTATCGGCAAAAAAAAAAAAAAAACTAAAATGTAGTACAAATACTACTGTCGAATTTGATTTTCGGGACATCGCTACTGGAATTCAGCGTAATCTACAAAAAAATAAAATAAAAGTAAAAAAACAGTAGCCAAAATATAGCTATTAAGATAACAAACAAATATGTGCATACTCGTGGCTGTGTAAATATTTAAATCGAGTTCAGACGACAACGCCATAATTTTCAAAGAGCAAACAAACGGATTGAGGAACAGACAGACACACGAACAACTCAAACAGAAGATCCGTGTATGATAACTTCTTCCGGAAGAGACAAACAGACAGACAGACGGACAGACGGAAAAGAGACACTTCAGATGGCAGACGATACAGTTAACAGGCTTAAGAAATTTAAGGTCTAGGCGCCATTGGGACAATTTCCCAAAAAAGGGTATGGACATCTACTGTACCTCTGGGTCACCTCTGAATCACACACATTTCTGTTTCTTTTTTGGGTACATTTTTTTCTTGCTCAACAACCTTTGTTAAACAATTTCCATGTGTGTTAGACATCGTGACTAATAAGCCGCGGGATGTCTCGTTATGCTCCGTAACAAAAAAAAAAACTTTCAATTAAGCTGGAAAAACTTGACTGCTCCTTTGTTTCGTGATGGGTTTTGGGATTTGGTATTTGAGATTTGAGATGATATGTAGATACTCGTATACTTGTACAATTGTAAGAATATTTGTTGGTATTTTGTGCATTTCATGTTTGAAATGTAGATACGACTGCATCATCGCATGACATGTGGAAAAAGTCACGAGTTGACAGGCAGCCAATAAAACTGACAGCCTGAATGGACACGGCCCATGGATGGGATTTTCGATGGGATTATATGGCATTTTAGTCAAGTCAGACCCCGTGCCTGGACAGTCAGACAGAGAGACAGACAGACAGACATTGAAATGCCAGCGCAAAGCGAGTGTTGACTGTCCTTAATTAGCCGAGGGGCAAACCCTTCCCTTCTCCACCCTCGAAAGGGTTTTGTTTCCGCTGCTCTGCAGAGATTCCCAAAACAACCCAATTAGTTCGCACTGACCTCTGGCCAGTGAACCCGAACATCTGTCCCAAGTAAAAACAATGTAAAAATATGTACCATTGATTGCAAAATATTATTGGCTATAGTTCCACTCCAAGCAATGTCTGAGTTCTTTCCGTAAGGGGGCCATAAATTACCTACAGGTGATCAATCAAATCATCACTAAAACCCACCGATCGTCAGCAGTTTTTTGGTCAGCATTTTGTGTGCAGTTTTATGGAGCCCCAAGCCCCCTAGATTAGGCTGCGACTGGACTGCTAAGAAACTATGTACGAGTAGTTCTCGAAAGTTTTCTTTTTTGCCACATGACGTTGATGTTTAATCAACAATTAAAACAATTTACTTTTAATTGAAATATAATTTTCTATTTGCACTCGAATTAAATATTATTATCAATTGAGCCGTTGGCCCAGACAACGCATGTCGCACTTCGGTCTACAGTCTACGGTCTGGTACGGTCTCCAGTTCTCATTACCCTTGTAATGCTACCCGTACAGCCAGCTCACAGATTGTCCCCCCACTGTGTATCTGTGTGTGTTGTCTGTGTGTGTGTGTGTGTGTGTGGGGGGATCTCTGTAAAGTGGCAGTGGCGCCTACATAATAGAACTGATAATATCATAATATCTTTCATATCAAAATGGCCGTTCGTTCGCTTGCCTCATGACTCATTTGAATTGGAAAGGGAAGTGTTTGGGTAAGGCAAAATTCAAGGACAAATTGTGAACTATTTCAAGTGCAATTTAGTAGAACGGCGGGGTATTAGAAGATTTGTAAAATGTGTGTAGAAATAATAAAAAGAAAACTTACATTACTTAAAGGAGAACTGCTTAATAGATGATCTGAAGTCTGCATTCCTCGACAATTATAAAAGTGTTATGGATCATTTTATTGTTTGATTATAAATTAATGTAATATTCCTATTCTAGCATCGCAATATTTCCGTTCCATAGAGAAGTTTCTGCTCTATTTCCTCCCCAATTTTAAGACACAGTAAATGGAAAGTCTGCCTTAAACCCTATATATATTCCAACATTATAAACACTTTCTTTGACTTAATTGAAAACAATCAATGTTGATTGTTTGCATTTTCCCTAGATTTTTCCCCATTCAGACATACACTTTTCACACGAGAAAAGTCAACAAACAGACAGACGGACAGACGGACAGACAGACAGACGTTGGACTGAGTGTCTGACTGGCTTAAACCTGCAATTGTAATTACCGCTAGTTGAGATGTTATCAAATTACATTGACTCTGGGTGGCGCCCCTACCAGTTGCACCCCCGCAACCCTCTCTGCTGCAGCGCCTCTTTGCTGTTTGCATTGATTGTCAACAGTGTCACTCTTAAGCTTAAGCGCCATGGAGCCACCACCACCGCCAGCCACCTCTTTCCGCACAGCGCAGCGGAGATGGCCTTCAGCAGGGGAGGGTTGGGTTGGGTTGGCCGAGTAAGTCGCTGAGTTTTCCCTACATTTCCACCTCTCTGTTAGCAGTCGCCAGGGCCCCATCCACACCTCTCGCCTCTTGGCTCGACTTGCCTCAGGTCGCGCTCGGAGCATTGAAGTGGAAGCGATCCCCCGATAATGCTCTCTAAAACTAATATTACAAAGTAGATATCGTTTGGCGCCGGACAAAAGCGACAGTGCCGCCAACTGGCCGCGACATGTTTGACAACCCGAGCGACACCAGCGGCAGCAGCAGCGGCAGCAGCAGCAACAGCAGCAGTGGCATGAACAGAGAGTCACAGTGGCATGAAAGCTATGGGTAATATTACGGGTCAACCAAGGCAGTCTATGAACCAGCTTCGAACATGCAGAATGAGAACACAATTCGGAACATTTTTAACAAGAAAAGTGAAGAGTCAAAAGGGTGCATTTATATTTTCCACATCCTTTGACCTTCTGTGGATTCTTCCCTATTCGTTCCACTGTGCATTGATTGGCGGCAGCCGGAGCTGCCATCCATATTGATAACCGGAATGCAGTAGTGCTCGTAACTTCCAACTGCCACTGCCACTACAGTCACTGCCACTGCAACTGCCACTGGCGGCGCGCCGCTGCTCGGGTTTTGTTTGTCTGTTTGCTGGAAAATTCAAATGTAGCCCAAGCCACTCACCGCCGTAATCCTTGGGCTTGTTTTCTTAGACATTCCTGTGTGCATTACGATAGCAGCCGAGGAGTTTTTTGAGCAGCCCGACTTCAATTCGACTTCAATTCGGCGGCCACTTATCGATCCTCGAAAGGTGCGCAACCGGCTACTGTGTGCGGATTCCAGCTGGATGCCAAAATGAATACTATTGGGAGTAGGAGTAGGAGCAGGAGCACTCACCAGGAGGAGCAGTAGCAGTAGCAGCAGCAGCAGCAGTTGAGTGTCATAAATTCATCATTCATTTCGCCTGAGGTCGTATGGATTGGAAACCTTATTTATTATATGTCGTTGGGGTTTGATTTATGGCTGTACGAAAGACCAATTGCCTAAAAATTGGTAGCACCAACTCGATAACTAAATGGATTCGGGTAATATTAATACGCGCATGAATGACCGTCTAGTGGTCGGTGGACGGCTTCTTTCAACTTGAAGGAAGGTTAATCAACATCATCGAGCTTGAGGTTACTGCTTATTAATTGATTTATGCTGAATGAAACTTTCATTTAGATTTATGATTGTGTGAAAAGGTTTTTTATGACCTTCTGGAGATGCCTTCAAAGGGGGAGTGTCTACAGAAAAACTGAAAAGAAAATATATATATATTTTCTTTTCAAAGAATAACTTTACTTCCTGCAGTATAAATTCTAACCTACGAGTACTAACAGCTTAAAGATCATCCCGAATACTTTCCAGAAAAAGGATATATGATCTTAGCATCTCATCAAATAAATTCCAACTTATTAACAGCTTAAAGAATGTCTCTTGAATTTTACAGTATTCAGGAAATTACAATTTTTTTGGCCAAGAGAACCTAAAAGAAAACCTCACAACGGGTAATAAATTCAATTATCCGATTGCCCAAACCGCACTCAGCACGCCTCCAAGGCATTTCCGGACAATCCAGCCAAAAGAAACCACAACAAACATTGGCAAAAAGATCATGACCAAATCCTAGACGGGCCCACAAATATCATAATTCCTGAACCACCCACAAAACAGAGTCCAAATCAGAGTCAGAGTTAGGAACCAAAGAATGCCCGCTGTCAGGATAATCCCAATATTTTCAAACAAACCTATTGAGCGCATGAAATCCTTCTATGGAAAGGGCAGAGTGATAGAGAGAGAGAGGGAATCGGTTTCATCATCGTCGGCTTTAGCCACGGGGCGCATGTCAAATTATGAATAAAATGCAAAATCACGCAAACAAGGCAAAAAGTCAACCGAGAGGGTCCTAAACTCTCACAATGATTAGCTGCGACAGCTAGAGATCAACGCCAGGGGATCGGGGATCGTTCTCCTCCAACCACAGCAGAAAACCAACTTATGTTCTCCTTTTTCTCTCTTCTCTCCTTGCAGCACCAAAACTACCTGCCAACAGCATTGCAAACATGCACCACGACTACCAGATGAATGGACAGCTCGAGATGTGCCGTAGTGTTGGTGGTGCTGGTGGTGGGAGTGGCGGCGTGCCCAACGGTCCTGGCGTTGGCGGCAACGGCTCTGGCCTGGGCTCGGTCCTGTCCGTGCAGAATTCCCTGATGCTCTCCGCGAACAATGCATCCGCGGGCAATGCCCCGAATGGCATGGGCGTGAGCATTGGCGTGGGGATGGGCAATGGGCCGGGCAGTGGCTTGAGCAGCTGCAGCCTGTCCACCAACACCAACAATTCCGGCAGGACGAACTTCACCAACAAACAGCTGACGGAACTGGAGAAGGAGTTCCACTTCAATCGGTATCTTACACGGGCACGGCGCATCGAAATAGCGAATACATTACAGCTGAATGAAACGCAGGTGAGAAATTATTTAACTTAGAGGATTTTAGAAAGCTCCACTACCTCTTTGGGTACCTTTCCAAGCAGTCTTTGTTCATTCAGCAAATCCTTATCCAACTCAAATTTCGTAAAACTAATACCTACTTCTTCCCATTTTCTTGCAGGTGAAAATCTGGTTCCAGAATCGCCGCATGAAGCAGAAGAAGCGCGTGAAGGAGGGCCTCATCCCGGCTGAGCATATGCACACCCAGCACACATCCACATCCGTACCCGTAATCACAGAGAAGCCACCGCAGCAGCAGCAGCAACAGCAGCAGCAAGCAGAGTTGCAATTAAAATCCCAAAGCAGTGATCTAAGCAGTAACGAACTACCTGCGGCAGCTTTAACGGTAACAACAGCATCCGTCAAGCAGAGTTGAACAGTTTTCAGGATTGCTGCTCAGATTGATCTTTGTTTTAATTGTTATTGCTGTCTAAGCTGCTATTGTTGTTGTTGTTTTTGTTGTTGTCGCCAAAATGTTGACGCATTTCGTTGTGATAAATTAATAGAAAATGCAAAAAAATAAATAAAAGAAATATAAATAAAAAAACTAAATAAGAGAATACAATAATTAAATAAATATTATGTCATACTTGTAGCAAATTCTTAAAAATTCAAAATAATAATAAAAACAAAAAGAAATCGGTAATCAAAACATTGCTAGCAACTTGTGGAATCGAGGTGCCATATTGTATATTTATATTCATCTAGGGGCTGTAAATACTTAAACTAGTTTTTCGCATTGCCGCAGCTGAAGTTCGTCTAGACTAGCACTAAAACATTGACTCAGGGTTAACAAAAAACGTATACTTAATTAAAATAAAAACTGAAAACTTGAAAGCACGCAGAGCAATTGACAAAAATACACTAATCGAAATCAAAAGGAAAAACTACCAGAATACAACTTTACAGCATACAATCCCCCCGCAATGTAACACCCCTAAATTTCTGTACTAGTGGAGTATTATTAGCTAAGTTTTAAGATGCAGATGCAAATCAGAGTTATTATGTATTCGTTTTTTGCTTAGAGTCTAATCTTGATGTACGTCTGTATATTTAATCTAGTCCTAATTGTAATATAATTATAATTGTATTTAAAGAAACAATAAACAAAAACCGATTGTTGATACAAACTGATGGCATTATTATTATCAGCAGCGTTGCTGGCATTACAATGATGGAGATTTAACTTCCGAGAACTAAATAGAAATAGAATGGCGGCGTGTTATCAGTACATCCATCCAATGGGGGAAACTTTGCTGGAAAATGTGCACATATTATATATTGATTAATTGTATGGTCTCATGGTCAACACATTTTATGCAAATCTATCATTATGACAGACCTTTTCTAGGGATTAATTCAACACAAACACATATCACATGTTTATGGGAAATTAAAATTCTTTCAGGGATTTGTCGCTTTTTGATATCATGAGTAATTCTGCGTGCAAAGGAAATTCATCAAATACCTTCTGACCAAAGTAATTTTGCATATGGATGATCGATACGATTTTAAGGCCACATTATAGATTGCTAAAAAAAAATTTGCCAGCAAGAGAATATGGAAAATATATTTCTGGTTAAATCTATTTGGGCTATATCGAATATTAGTCATTAACTGACAACAAATTACATTCATTCAGCGTTTGAAAATGTGTTAATATCGTTGCAAACTGCTAACTGAAACTAGCTTCAAACACTTATTATGATATGATGTGATTTAAATTGCGCGCACAAATATTGAAAATTTTAAAATATCGAACTTATCATACCAAAACATCATCATTTGCCTAAAATTACTTATCGATATATATTATATACTTTACGGGCTATTTTATTTTGACGTCGAAATCGAGTTCAAAGTATATATACGGTATATCTGTATATAAAAGTATATATAATCAAGTTCCAATCGATTTAATTAAATTTAATTATATTGGCTCTTCTTTTTCGAAGTGAAGAGGGCTAGCTAAATTAAAAATTGAGGAGTTTCACATCTGTCAAAAATTCCCACCGTTCCTCATGGATATGCTGTGTGGGAAAAGGATATTACACATTGCTTCTCCTAGAGCGATTTTACATAATGTATGATACGTGTATACTATTATTCAATATTATTGTTTCAAAGCAGCTTGGAACAACAAATTGAACATCAACTAAAGGAAATAAGGTATACAAAAGTACATACGCATAGAAGAAAATTGGTTGACAAGCAACAATGACGTCACATTTAGTCAACACTTACGTTTTATGCTTTGGCCGTTTTAGTTTGAACCTTATTATGTAAACAATCCAATGAAAAAAAGTTATGAAAACTAGCCAATCTTTTACAAAATTTATTGAAGAATTGGATAAAATTGTTTGTTTAGGGCTGAAAGTCCCAGCTAGCTGGTAATATTAAACAGAATATCAATATCGAGGAATATCAACGTCGAATGTATTGAAAAAACAATCGATACTATCGTGATAGTATCGGGCTAAAAAAATTATTAATTTTTTTTTTTTTGTTATTTACTGGTTACTGGTTCTCGGTTTCTGAGGTCACTCGACAAAACAAATCAAGTTATTTTTCCAAATATTAAGACACATTTCAAATTGACCGCCAAACTCAATTTAGCGCACCAAAAATACTGACATTTTTCGCTCTCAATTCGTGGAGAGTTTGCAAAACTCGCTCTCAATTCGTGGAGAGTGCTCTCTTTTCAGTGGAGAAAAGAGTGTTTTTATGGAGACTTTCCCCTCATTTTCGTGGTGTGGCAGCATGTTGCTGAAATTTTTCCCATACAAAATCAAATGTATCTTACGGGAACGCGTATGGAATGACGCAACAATGAATCTTTATTCCATACGTCATTCCATACGCGTTCCCGTATGATACATTTGATTTGTATGGGAAAAATTTCAGCAACATGGGGAATGAAGTAGCAGCATTGTTGTGCAACTTTGGCAAGGAATGAGCAACAATCTGCATACCTTGGGAAAATGGATATTATGGACTTGAGATATTGTTTGTAATTTCAGGCTCCAATTAATGCAGAAACTACTCAGTCTCAGTTTTCCAGATATTAACGAAATTTGGCAGCTGACGTGTTCCAATAATAGGTATGAGAACCGGGATAAATGTATATATAAAACACAAACATGTGCATTAATATGTAAAAAACATGTCAATCTAGGATACAATCATAGCTTGGAGCTTGGAACAAAACATTTAACATCAATTAAAAGAAATAAGGTATACAAAAGTACATACGCATAAAAGAAGCTTGGTTGACCAGCAACACTGACGTCACATTTAGTCAACATTTACGTTTTATGCTTTGGCCGTTTTTGTTTGAACCTTATTATGTAAACAATCCAATGAAAAAAAGTTATGAAAACTGGCCAATCTTTTAAAAAATTTATTGAAGAATTGGATAAAGTTATATGTTAAGGGCTGAGAGGGCTAACTAGCTAGTAATATTGAACCGAATATCAAAATCGAGAAATATTTTGTCATGCCAGTCAGTATTTACGGTATATTTTGATAATGACAATGTATATTTCGTTACATTTCTGAGGGTCAAGCGGTATTTTTTAATGATTGCACCGCGGTCACACTGATAGCCGGCATTTTGTTGTCTTTTTCGAATTTAGCAAATAAAATGTGGTTTTCCGAGAATTTAAAGATCCGCTTGACTATGATGACAAGGAGACCACGCCTGATCCGCTATGGCTTCGTCGACACCAAGTTTGGGCGCATGCTAATGGGCGTGGTGCCCTTGGACGATGTTCAGAGTGAAGCTCAAGACGCAATTTGTCTGCTGTATTTCGTCATGGAGAGTGACCAGGACACTCTTGAGGAGGCGAGGCATCGTTCGCACGGTGCAAAGATGGAGCTGGAGAGTGCCACCATCCAGAAGTGGACCGAAAAACTCTTCTCCGGCGGCAAGGACGTGGAATGTGTGATCGACGTTGCCATCATTGGATCACAGTTCGAGACTGCTGTCTGGTCCGCTCTGCTGGAGGTGAAGAGTGGTCAGAAGTACACCTACAAGGAGCTGGCGATGCAGATGGGTCGCCCCGAGGTAGTGCGATCCTTGGCCAGTGCAGTGGGCCGCAATGAGGTGGCTATTCTCATACCCTGCCACCGCATTGTGTCCAAGAACGGAGACTCCAAGTACCACTGGGGCGGCCAGCTCAAGCAGGAACTGCTCAGCTTTGAGGCTACAAAGTAGATTGTTATAAGATACATCATTAAAAATCGTTATATATTTTTTATTGAAATTCAGCTCCGGACACTCCGGACGTGTTTTGTTTTGGGGGCCGTGGAAAGGAAAAATCGTTGCGGGATTGATCAAATGAAAAAATGCAAAACAGACTCTAGACTGAGATTGTGCATATTCTGGGCGCAGATCCTACTTATTGTATTGTACCTATAAATAAACGCGCCGCCTCTACTCTCGATGCAGCAGAACGAATATTGCCAGTATCGAGAGAATGGCCCACTGAAAGATGGAGAAACGAGAGAGGATCAGCAAGGGAAGCTTGGGCGAGGGGTTAGTTAGGCAATCACTCACTTTAACCTTGGGATACTCGTTCATGAAGATGGTGATGATGCCCACGTAGGGCAGGAAGCCCCTGGCCCTACCCACAATATCCTTTTTGGTCAGCCAGAGCTGGTTGGGCGCGTACAGGCCTCGGTCGTCCACATTGTTGTTGTCGCCCTTGGTCAGGAACTTGACGCTGCCATCCTCCCTGCAATAACAGTAATCAGGAATCAGATAAAGTTGCAGCAGCCTGGAGTGACAACATACTTCTCATGCAGCTTGATCACGCGATGCACTATTGGAATGTCTCTGCCCTCCACCTTGAACACAACGATCTCGCCGACGCGCACAGGGTCCTCCTTGTAGTTGGTGAGGAAGAGCAGGTCGCCGCGATGAAATGCCGGCTCCATGCTGCCACTGAGCACCACCACAATGGGCGATTCGCTGCCGGTGGCCACCATCAGACCCTTCCAGATCATCAGGGCCGACGAGACAATCATGGCGAAGCTCAGCACCTGATACAGGGACTGCAGGAAACATCGTTGTTAACAATGCCACTTTCGACAATGCCACAGCCGCCAGCCCACAAGGCGGCGGCTCTCCTCTCACCTGACGCTTGTTCATTCTGTTGAAATCGCCCAGCATCTCATCGATTTGCAGCATGCTTGCTACGCCCATGGTTGCGGCTGTGTGGTTTGTGGGGTATATTTCCTTAAATTAATCTAGCTAAATGCGAATTCGATCGGGTTTTAAAAATGCTAGGTCCACGAAGGCAGAATTACAGACACGTATGTGTTGGATCGTTCATGAACGAAGTTTCCTTGACGTGAACGAACTGAAACAGTTCACCTTAGCCCACTTAAGCCACCAAGAAAAGTCTATGGTAAGACAGGCGAACAATTTGCTTGAGGCCGCAGAAAATAATGTGCTTGTAAATACCCTTTATTTTACCCTATATCTGTCATCTACAATGCGCTATAATTTTTCGAGTTTCCAAATTGTTGTAGTTATATTACAGTTATAGTTTAAGTACCCCAGTGGGCCTAAATGGGCTAATGGTTCTTTTTTGTTCATGAGCGGAAATGATATTGCTTGATTTTTGTATTCGATCTAGTACTAACAGCTAGCTAAAACTTTCAGCCCGGAAAATATTATTTTATACGATATGGTAGTCAGTTTTCTAAATTATTGACTAGCTCTTATTACTTTATTTCATTGGATTATTTATAAAACATGGTTTAAGTATCAAATGGTCAACAAAATTGCCACTTAATACAATTTTGTACATGATTGAACTGGAACCATAAACGGAACTGGATGTCCCTTCCGACATTTCAGGTACTCTGAAAGTATTTTTTTAATGATAGATTATGATTCATTTTGGAGGAGATGTTGTACACGGTGTATCGGGTTTCGGAGTTGTTGTCGTCTCACAGGGTTGATCTGGCCGAGGTGTTGTTGTAGAACAGGGTGGTGGTGGCAGAGGTGTTGTTGTTGTAGAATAGGGTGGTGGTGGCAGAGGTGTTGTTGTTGTAGAACAGGGTGTTGTGGTAGACGGTGTATCGGGTTTCGGAGTTGTTGTCGTCTCACAGGGTTGATCTGGCCGAGGTGTTGTTGTAGAACAGGGTGGTGGTGGCAGAGGTGTTGTTGTTGTAGAATAGGGTGGTGGTGGCAGAGGTGTTGTTGTTGTAGAAAAGGGTGTTGTGGTAGACGGTGTATCGGGTTTCGGAGTTGTTGTCGTCTCACAGGGTTGATCTGGCCGAGGTGTTGTTGTAGAACAGGGTATTGTTGTTGGTGGTGTTGTTGTGGAACAGGGTGTTGAAGGCGGGGGTGTTGGTGTCGTGTCACATGGTGGCTTGAGAGTGGTGGTGCTGCACGGCTCCTGGGGATCTTCAGACGGCTGAGCGATTCTGTGGGAGTCTGCGACTACTGCCACAAGGGCCAGCAGAAGAAGGCTTGCTGTAAATGGAATCGTTATTAAGTGTAAGGACCCACTTCCACCTATGCCTGCGACACTTACAGAAATTCATGGCAAACAACAGGCAGCTCGAAAGGGGTGAAGTGGAGTGATAGGCCCTGCTGAATTGGGTTTGGTAGCAGGTTTCGTCGAGACAAGCGAATGATATAAAACCTGTAATTGATAACAATTGGTTGCCCCTCAGATTGATTTTGAGCTCTTTTATAACGCTTTTTACTCTGTTCCCGAAAAGATTCGATAAGACAAGGTTCACCAACGTCGGAACATCAGAGAACCTCAGGACCCCAATCGATTCACTGACAACTATAGACCGAGGGGCAAGCTAAGCGGATGCGGCCTTATCAGGGACAAATTTGTGCCGACATAATTTTTAATTATCAACCATGCTACGGCTATCGCAGATCGCAAGAAGTTGCGATTTTAATGTCAAAAAGCGGGCTCATGACAGTCACCTCATGACTCCAAAATAGATGATTGTATGCATAGAATAGTTTTTAGATGCCGAAACCGATTTTGTCTTAAGATTTCAGTATGTATTCTAACATACTGTGCTTGTGTGGGTTCAAACAGGTTGGACATTTTATTTTAATAGCTTCATTGAAATTTCGCCCAGCAGTCACCACATTGCAAACGTGATTGCAGGGGCCCAATAAGACCGATTTTCTTTTTTCCAGGCATGCGTTACATAAATTTTGTTGGATAGCACTAGAGTCTAATGACTAGACAGATTGTTAGACATAACAGTATCGTTCGAGGAAGACGACGAATCGGACGATGTGGACGAATTAAGTTCATCTTTCACTTTTTTCATAGTGCACATACTGCCGAACAGCTTAGAGAACTTATCTTTGATAGAAACGGTGCGTGTTAAAAAGCCCTGCACATAGATTTTTACTTTTCAGCTGCTTCGCCCGCCTCCTCCAGCAAGAGACCCACTACTCATCTCATTCTCGCTTGCACACTCTGCCTTGATCAGTGCGCGAGCGCCCTCTGGCGAAAAAGATGTAGAATATAAATGGTACATGTAGAATCTACATATTAGTGTATAATATACATTGTATATGTAGATAACAGATGTAGCAAAATATGTAAAAAGTAAAATTCTAAAAACAGGGTATTCAGCGAGCGACGTGAACCTATATTTTGGGCAAAAATTTACAGGCGGTCACACTGGTGAGCGCCACACTTTGCGTTTTTTTGCGAAATAAATTTTAAAGAAGCCTGCCTGAGATACAAAGCGAAATGGGTGATAAACTGCTGGACACTTCACAAATCATCAATGGAATGGCTGTGATGATATCATTTTTCGTGGGCTACCGCTACGCCATCAAGCGCGGCGAGTCCAAGGAGACGGACGAAGGAGCAGCGGCTGCGACCGGTAGCACGAGCACACAGGAGGCTGCTGCCGTATCCGACAGGGTGAACATACTGACCTACTTCCAATCCTCTCATCCAGGCGGGCGCTAATTTACACGAATAATTTGCAGAACTATGGTGGCATCAACGAGAACTTCAAAATGGTTCTGGTCGTGCGGAACGACCTGAAGATGGGCAAGGGCAAGATTGCCGCTCAATGTGGCCATGGGGCGGTGGGCGCCTACCAAAACGCGGTGACGCGGATACCGCGTCTGTTGCGCGCCTGGGAGAACTGCGGCTGTGCCAAAATAGCCGTGCGCGTGGAGAGCGAGGCAGAGCTGATGGCCATCAAGAAGGCTGCTGAACGGCAGCAGCTGAACACGTGCCTTATACGCGACGCCGGTCGCACCCAGATCGAGCCCAACTCCAAGACCGTGCTGGCCGTGGGCCCAGCTGCGGCAGCCGATATCGATCGTGTCACCGGGCACCTGAAGCTCTTGTAAAGAGTCTGCACCACCGCATTGGAATACTCGCAGGGCCATAGCGAACACACAACACACCACACCACACACTTATGTGCGCGCACCTCAAACGAAACAAAAAAAAAAAACACAAAAAGCAATATGGGTCAGGGCGTGTGGGGTGGTGGAATGGCGACAATGGGTGGTATGGTACGCCTCGCCTCGCCTCCTCCATTACGACGATACGATACGATGACGCTGACGACTGTGAAATGCAAGTTAATCTAAGAATAAAATTAAAAATTTACTTATTAAATGATCTGTAACGCGGCTTCCGTTTGCAATGCTCCGAGTTGAATCACTTTTATTACTTACATATACATATTTATTTTACTAGTCCAGAAACACGAGACGAGAGCCTGACTCTGGGTGGTTGGTTGTTCTTAAATGTATATTTTATGATTTAAAAAATTCAGCTTAAACAAACAAACATGTAGGACGAAAACACAATTGAAAACATAGATTTATGACAAATCTTCACGGGCCAGGGCACCCAGGCACCCATAGACCGCAAATAGTATTGCAAAAAAATTAAATTTGAATAGAACATGGAAATGATCATCGGCTAACGCTGAAAAGCATTACAAGGCATTCCGATTCTAAACAATTTACAGCTGCTTAAAGATCCTTTTCTGTTCTGTTTCTCTTAACGATAGACGTGACCCCTCTTTGGGGGTGTCCTTGCACCCCTAGAATGTCCAGGCATAATCATTATCCCCCTGCACTAGTTGCTGTTGTGGCTGCTGATGTTGCTGTTGCTCTAATCCCGGCTGGGGTGCTGGAAATTCCATTGGCTGTTGAGCGGCTGGAAAGTCCATGGGCTGCTGGACGACCGGAAAGTCTATCTGTTGCTGCTGCTGCTGCTGTTGCTGCTGGGAGCTCGTAAAGTCCATCTGTTGCTGAGCGCCCGTAAAGTCCATTGGCTGCTGAGAGCCCGCAAAGTTCATCGCCTGCTGGGCGCCAGAAAAACCCATCGCCTGTTGGGAACTCGTGAAGCCCATTGGCTGCTGCTGGTAGTCGAGCACGGGCTCGTTCGAGGCATCCACATGGTAGGGCTGCGAGTGATGGGAGTGATGCGAGGCCTGGGACTGTTGCATATCAATTTCGTTGTCGTCAAACACTTCGTTCTTGATGCGCCTCCGACCAACGTCCTCCTCGTCACTGTCCGACACGTCCAGATCTTCCTCAATGCCCATGCCGTTGTTGAGGGTGCTTGTCGGTGGCATTTGCAACGCCCCCGACTCATCCTCATGAGCGCCTGCAGCGGATGCGGCGGCTGCGGCAGCAGCACTTGTGCTCGCCTCCGGTGGATTGTACTGTCCATTGTCGTCCTGGACGTTGGCCATGAAGTCCGAGAAGGCGCCACGGGCGGTGGTGGGCTCACCCAGATTCTGGCGCGGCTTGTGCATGGCCAGAAAGTCGGAGGGATCGTAGTTGGGATCCACATCCATGGATTCATCTGGAAGACATACAGAATGGCGATTAATGGGTGGACACACAATATTGGAGGACAAGAGCAAGCGGAGCTTAAGGAAAACATCGAGGGGACAGGACAACATTTATATGTGGGTGGTGGTGGTGTGGGGATAATAGAGACCTTGCTGCTGTTGAGCGTAGAAGCCAAGGCCACTCAACTGCACCATTGCTTCAGCCGCCTGCTGGCTGTCATCCTCGCCGCACGGCTCCTCTGCAGCGGATAGGCAAGTGGACGCGGATAGAAATGCAAAACGGAGACGGAAACAGAAACAGAATCCAGACAGAGTCAAAGTTCGAAGGAAGTTTTTCGATTAGTAATCAATCATCAACTTGAAACAGAGACAGATACAAAGACAGATCCGACCAGCGCTCGACTGCCGCTCCACCCACCTGCCAACTGCTGCTCCTCGATGTCGATCTCCGTCTTAATGTTCTTCGGGTCGATGTAGTCCATGCCATCTGCGGGCGCCTGGATACGTTCGCCCTGATCCAGTATGTTGGCTGCATTATTCTCATCCTCGGAGACCTCCTGGAAGTCCTCCTCCTCATCATCCTCCTCGTCTGTGGAGAAATTCAGGTCTGAGGAAACGTGACCAAAAAGTTAGTGAATAATTCAATGAAAATGTGAATAAGAGAGAACGTGATCTTCGGGCGTACCGAAGCTATATGTAGATATCCTTGCAGAGAAGAGCTCTCTTTTAAAACTATCGTGTTCTTTAAAAAAAGTTAACTATCGAAATAAATCGATCTTCTATCGATTCTTTCTAAGGCAGATTTTTTATATATTATAACGCAAAGGAAAGGGACTTTTTTCCATGTGATTTTTTTTGTGAAGAAACAGACCGACGGAACTCAGCTTACGCTCTCATTCTCTTCGTTACATTTGATTATATATATATCGAAATTTATTTCTTCTCTGCGCTGATCAAAGTGTACGAGTTTCAGCCTCATTGCAAGGATATAAATCTCCAAAAAAAAAAGACTATAAATAATTTCAAGTTAAATTAAAAGTAATTTCCAATTTGTAACTCGGGATATCATGCAAATTTCAAAGAAATAAACTCAAGACTTAGGGATTAGTAAACCAAAAATGCATATGAAGTTAAAAACTAAAAGGCAAACCAAAATTATCCAAAGCATTTTGTGTTAGATGTTTGTTAGGCAGGTGTTTTTTTTTTTGGGGAAAATCAATTTTGAATTCAAGTGTAAATTAATTAACAAATAAAGAAAAAACATGTGTTGTGGCGGTGAGGTGTGTGTCTGCAATCCGTTAGTCTGGTAGTTAGAGGCTTACCTTCATCCAGGAAGTAAGCTTGCGCCTGACTCTTGTTTGATGTTAGGCTACCCTTCCTCGGACGACCCCGACCACGCTTAACCGGATTCTGGGCTTTGACTAGAAAAAGTACAGTAAAAGTATTTGTTGCAGTTTTGTGGCAATGTTTTTTGTGGCATGTGTGTTTGTTTTGTGGCAACAACAACAGTATTTATCAAGAGGAGAGTCGCATTTGTTATGCACACAATTACATTTAATAAGAGGAGAAGAGGAAAACACAGAGCTCTCAAATCAAAAAGGAAATCAAAAGCAAGAAATTCGGTGGGGTAGGTCGGTCTATTTTGCTGCTGCCTTAGCCTTACTCTGAAGCATGGATTGGAAAGCCAAAGATGTTTGATTCAAGCTAAATGCAAACCAAAGATTATAGAACATAACTCTTACACATATATATATTCAGATATATCACAAAACAGCTAAGAACAGCTTACACTCTCATTCTCTTGGTTAGATTTTATGGTGAATTATTTTATATTCTGGCATCTGTGATCTATATGTTCTATAATCTGTGGTGCAAAGCAATGGTTTCTTTATTCAAATTTCTAGATATTTTTTACTTGTTTCGAAATGTAATTTAGTTTATGGCGAAGATTCATGCATTGCTTTAATGATTGATATGCGCTATCTAGGACGATCTACCTGAATACAACTGAATAGCTATAGGTAGGAATGAGTACTCCCAATGGAGTTCAATGATTTCGAGTGTGGATTAAAGGCAAGTTTTTGTTTGGGGTATTAGTAGGTACAAGCAGGCTCGACAGATCAGATATCTGTGTGGGTGGGGCTACCATAACCATAATCGGGGGAACAGGGATCAGGAAACATGGGATACACTTTGTTGTATATTTATATCATATTCATATTGATGTGGAAGAGGAAAGCGTGAGTTCATTACCAATAGAGTTTCACAGTAGACCACAGAGAGAGAGAGAGAGAGATACATGTAGATACGAGTATGTGTGTCTGTTTGTATGCATAAATACTGGGGCAGAGATCGTAGCAGAGCTGGGACTTACCGTCCTCGGTGGGATTGTGCCTCTTGCGTGGCCTGCCCCGACCACGTTTCACCTCGCCCACGGCCGGACGTGGCAGTTTACGTACTGGCGTCGCATGATGCGACATATGGCCATCGGAGCCCATGCTGCGGTGTATGGAGGCCGCTGTGGTGGCGCCCACATTACCCTCCACATCGATGTACTCATCCCCGGGCGAACTACCGCGACTGCCACGCCCCAGATCGTAATCATCATTGCCCCAGGCCTCATCGAACTCGGGTGCATTCTCCATGGCCAGCTCTCGGGTCTTGGCAATATTCTCCTCGAGGGGCAGGCAAGTGGCTGCCAACTAAACGACAGATCAGAGAATCGTGCTTAGAAATGGATTGGGATGGGGAAGCTATGTATATGGAGGGGGGATACCTCTTCCAGTTGGGTGCGTGTGTATGCCCGTATGGTAGTGGAGTTTTTGGTGAAGCGATGATCGGGTCCATTGTACTGCAAAGAGTTGGCATGCATCAATTCAATGTCTGCCATGTACTCCTCCCGACTGTGATAGCCATGCGCTGCAAAGAAAGAGGACCATTAGAACACTTGTAGCCGAAGTTACGAGCCTCTACTTACCATCGATGGTCTTTTGCATGCATTCCAGATCCATGGGTCGCTTGATCACCTGATAGTAGTCCCTCACATTCTTTTTGTTGACTGGCTTTAGGAAGGGCCACGCATCGGTGAGGAGCTTCACCTGTGCGTGCAGCTTTTCAAAGATGTAGGACAGGGCCACCTGATCGTCATCGCCCAACAGCGGATTGATGGCCTTCTCCACGCGCATCAGCTTCTCCTCGCGCTGCTGGAACAGCCCGTAGCAGCTCTCGAACATGCGCTGGGCGGCCACAGTGTAGGCGCTATGGGCGCCATTATATAGCGCTGAATTGTCCACAATCTGCTTGAGATCCTCGAGGAACATCTGGCGACTGGTGTAGCGACGCTGCCTAATGTACTCCCGCATGGTCTGCAGGTCCATGGGCTTTGTGACCACCTGATAGTAGTCCGGCACTTTCTTCGAGTTGACGGGGAACAGAAACGGCGACACATCAGGGATTGTGCGCAGCTCATTGAGGATCAGCTCCAGTATGGAGGAGAGCACCACCACCGGGTCGGTGCGTCGTCGATTGGCGGTCTTGTTGTGCCGCTGCAGATAGTCGCAGTGGAGGTCGTTGCCCAGACGCCGCTTCTTCTTGCCATCGCGAGACATTTTGAGGCTCAGGCCCATGCTGCTGCGGCGCTTGCTCTCCTCGCCATGACGCCGCAGCACCTTGCTGCTGAGCGTCACCTTAGTGCCGTCCACATTCACCAGATCGTCATCGTCCATGTTGGTTTCCGGCTCGCTCTGCGCGTCGAGGTCGTCGGCCAGCGAGGGATTCGACTGGGAGAGGCTGCTCTGCATGCCCGTGTACAGCGGACAGGCCTTGTTGGTGCGCATGTGCCCCACCTGGCCGCAGGCGCCGCACTTCAGCTTGAGGTCTGGCTTCAGCTTGAACTTCTTGCGCGAGGGACTGACCTCCTTGTAGCCGTGATCGCGCTCCTTGTGCGCATGGCCGCCAGAGCTCTTGGGATCGCCCAGCGAGGTGGGCATGCCGCCGGGCTGCAGCTTCTGGTTCTGGGCCAGCTGGGCGAGGCGTTCGCGCTCCTGGTTGCGCTTAATGCGCCGCAGCTGCTCCTGGATGCGCCGCTTTTCGCGCTTCATTTCCTCCTTCTGCTGCTCGTCCAGCGTGGCGAATTGCTTGATGAACTGCTCGTCCTTCGTAGTGCGGATCTTGATGTACGCATCAATCACGGGCTGCCGGCGGACCGTCTCCACGCGGGTGAACTCCTTGCCATCTATGGCCCTGAACGTGCGCGTGATCTTCAGAATGCGGCCCTGATTCTGATTGGCCAGCGGCTGCTGAGAGGCATCCTCCTTGGCCTTGGCCCTGCTGGCCCCATCGCCATGCTCCTCGTCGAGCTGTCGCAGCAGCTCCTGTCGCTCCTGTTCCTCCCGCTCCAGCGAAAGCTGCGTGGAGGTCTTCTTGTTGGACAGCATATTCTCCAGATTCTTGCCCAGCTCCTCCAAATCAGACTCCTCGGAGGCAGAGGACTCGGCCTCATCGGTGGACAGTATCTCAGAGCTGGCGAGCACGCGATTCTGCAGATCGAAGATGCGCTGGCACTCCTCCTTGTAGCGCTCTTGGTGCTCCGCAATGGAAAAGCGATTGCCACGCGAGAACTTGTCCATGCCCTCCTCTCCGGCCTTGGCCTTCTCCGTGGACAGGGTGCGCACCACATCGATGACCTCCCAGCGGGAGAGCTTCTTGATCTCCTCCTCGGGCACCTTGAACTTGCGCAACAGCTCCTTGGCCCTTTGCAGCGGCAGACGACGCAGATCGGCATCGGTTCCCGTTACCGAACGCTTTGGCTGCGATTCCTGTTCCTCTTTTGTTTGCTATTTGGAAAAAAGGATTAGCATGTGCACGCTGGAGTGGGGGCTGTAGTCCTTACTGTTGGCTTGTTGGGCACTCGCACATACGAGAAGCCCTCACCGCAGCCCGTGGGATCTGCGGGGCCGCTCAGCTGCAGCAGACACTTGCCACGCATGGCCTGAATGTAGGCACGCGTGGTGTTCCAGGGGGCCACCTTCACCTCATCGTCCAGCTTCAGTTGGGCCTCCTCATCGTCATCCTCTTGGGGGGCAAACAGGAATTTCTCCCCGTAGCCAGCATCCTTTTAAAAATCGGAGTGGAAAATGAGTTTAGGATTCGTTGGAGGAGTTGGAGGCATGCCTACCTTTAGCCGCTGTTCGGCGGCAATCATGCTAAAGTAGGCACAGCACTGCTCCGGCGAGACCATGGCGCGTATCTCCTCCTCGGAGGGCAGCCGAAACTCGGGCTTGATCACCCACCAATTGCTGTCCATGCCCGTGCGCTTGAAATCCGCGCACTGCTTCAGACGCTTCCGAATGCTGCTCTCCGAGTGGGCGGGAAAGGCGCGCTTGATGTCGTCCATGCGTATGCGCCGGGGCTGGTCGCGACTCTTCCAAAACAAGCGATAGATAAACACCTGAAAGGGCGCCAGAACTGATCAGAGAGGAACACTAAAAGAGAGGGGCTGGGCTTCCCACCTGCAGGAAGTCACGTGTAAAGTTGTTTGCGCGCTTCGAATTGGGTCCCGGCACCTCGTACAGTGGACACTCCTGTCCTACAGTGAAAATGGCCGTGACCGCGCGTATCCAGTATGTGTTTCTGGTGCGAATGATGAGGAAATCATTGTGGGCCATCTTGTGCGGGTAGATGGGCGCACGGTACATGTTGTTCTCCAGCGCCTGGATGCACTGGCCCGGATGGAGGATGCCGAGGAAGGGACTGGTGTGGGCAAAGGCCACCTCACCGTACACATAGTCCTGCGGTCCGCTATCCTTTTCCGCTTTCCGTTTGTAGTAGTTTTTGATCTTGGAGCACATCCCCACTTGATTCATCAACGGCGGATGCTCCTCACAGAACTCCGCAAGGACAATGTCCCCATCCTTGCCACTGAGATCCTCTGGATTGCGCATGAAGAAGACATCACCACCGCCAGAGGCTATACGCTCAACCTCCCGCTGCTTGGCCTTCTTCACGATGTGCTTCAGCAGGGCGTAGACATTCTGATGCGTATCCTGGGCTAGCGGCCCATACGAGTACTTCTTCAGCGGCGGTCGATGGAAGGAGCGCAGCTTCATTGGCCCCATATGCGTGGGCACAAAGGGAGCGCGCAGCTCCACCACTGGCGTCGAGTGCTGAATGAGATTCCCGCCGCCCACTTTCATGCGTAGGGTTGAAGGCTCCGTCTTGGGTGCGTAGTAACTGGGGAATAAATGAAGTTAAGTATTTTAAGTAAGTTAAGTTAAGTATTTGCTATGGTTCCTATGGTTGTGCATGTCACTCACGTGTCATTTGAGATGTTAAAGGGATCCCGATCTGGACTCTTGGGCGGCGGCGGTGGTGCATCCTCTGCCAGTACATTGATGACGCCCGCCTTGCCCAGCAGAATCTTTGACTTCTTGACGTGCGGATGCGGTATCTTGATCTTTGGCGGTGGCCCAATGTTCTTGTTGATCTTCGAGGGATCAATGTCGTCGGGTATGCCCAATATAATGTTCTCATCGTTGGGATCCAGCGTCAGAACCTTTGGCTTTGGCACCTTGGTCATCTGCTGGGCATCCCAAATGATTTCGTCCTCCCACTTTTGGTAGATCAGCTCCTCATTCTCCACGGGAAACAGACTGTACCACGTATCGTCGGGCACTTCTGTGGGCTTGTTCTGCACACTGTTCAAAAATATACAAATATTATTTATTTGCTAGTTCTCTGCCCTCCGAGATGCACTCACTTCTGTTGTGCCTTCTTGCTGGCGGCCGAGGAGCCCTGCTTGGAGCTGCCACTGCTGCCCACGGGCATTGTCGACTTGCCCGGCTGACTGAAGGCGCCTGCTGTGCGAGAGCCGCTGGAGGGCAACCATCCAGCAGCATTTGTCTTGGAGTTGAGTTTTTGCATCACCTTGGCCTTGATGTCGTTGCCATCCCAGACGACATCGTCCTCCCAGTGCATTTGGGAGACCATCAGAAAGGCATCTTCCGCTAGGGTGGCCTTCTCGCTGTCGCCGCCAACTGCCTCTGTCTTGATGCCTCCGGGTGGCTCTTCGGGGACGACAGTGTCCTTGGACTGGTTGTTGGCTGTGGACTTCATCTTGAAGCCGTAGTTGAAACCATCGCCCGATTCGGGCACCTCGAGCATATCGTACCAGATCTGTGCAGGTCCGAAGCGCCAATCGGCCACCTTGGGCTTTTGGTCGCTGTTCTCACCATTCTCGGGCCCCTCCTGCCGCACATCGACGCGATTCAGATCGCTGAGCAGCTTCTCCTCATCATCGGACATGCAAGCCGCGGGCGTGGGTTCGTTGGCAAAGAACAAATTGAAGCCACGATGGCGAGGCTCCTCGGTGTCGCTGGGCGAGTCGGACCCACCAGTGTTCGACGTCTAGTTGCAAGCGAGAGATATGTATGTATGTTTGAATGAACAACTTGCACCGAGGATGCAGCCGTACCTTTTGATCTCTCGACTGATTCCGTTTCCTACGCCGCCTGCGGACATGGCGCCAGATTTGTGGCATGCTTGTGGGCTTCCCCGGACCGAAGAGGCGTGAAAACCGCAGAACTTTGTTTGGCCGAAAGTCGGGAAAGAGCTTCCGGACATCCACATTCTGGTACTTGGAGGGCAGGATGTCGGCCAGGGGTGTGTCCAGTCTGCGATCGTCTTGAAGGGACACCCAAAGGACACCACAATGCATAATCCACTCTCAACAGATTTACAAATCTTTGCGCTTACCCTTGGGGTCACCACCACTGGCTTTGGCCTCACTACTGCCTGATGAACCGCTGCCCTCGGGGCTCGGTGTTTTGGTGGCGACCTCTTCAGGCCCGGTGCCACCAGCTGCCCGCCCCAGAGGAGTACTGGGTGGCGGCATCAGTTCTTTGTCATCCTTGGCTGTATGAATGGAGCACAGTGGCACACATGAGAGACACTCTTCCCCCTATAATGGACGGACCATTGGGCATTACTCACTTGGCTTTGTCTCAACCTTGGATGCCGGTATGGCATCTTCCAGGTCATCGTATGACACCTGCTCTGGCGGCGTGCGTGGACAATCCTCGGACAGTTCGGTTATGTCCGAATAATCAATCGCATCGTCCTGTGCCGTGACGGTGCCATCGTCGTTCTCCTCCTTTTTCACGCTAGCCTTCAACGCATCGAAGACACTCATGCCAGCGGCGGTGGCGGCATCCGGCGTGGGCCGCTGCTTCTCATCCTCATCGTCGTCGGACGAGGCTTCGGCATCTTTGGTGTCAATCACCTCGCTCAGCAACGAATTGAGACCCATCCTGATGAGTGGCCACACTCGTTAGCTAAATTTCATAAATATATTCGCTACAAGACATACTTCGCCAGGGATCCAAGATTTTCACGCAGCTCCGCATCAAAGCCGTGCCCCCTCTCGTCGTCCGCCAGCAACCTGCCATCGGAGTCAATGTTACCGAAGAGAATACCGGTTAGATCCATGCCGAAATCGCCCCCACCATTGCCAATGGACCCCTCATCGTCACTGTTGTCGGATGCAGTGTCCATTTAAATGGTTTTGGTGTTTTAAATTCGTTAAATATGTTTTTTTCACACAATCGCACACATTTGGGTTTTAGGTATTAAAGAAGCGCTAAAATATACCAAAACGCCTCCGCGGTGCCGATAGGCAAAACAAAGGTATATCAATAATAGGTGAGATCCGCGACTTGCAGTAGAAATCAAAAAACAATCAAATCGCAATTGATTGGTTTTAGCTGTGGCTGTTGTGTTTGTGTATGTAAAAGAGCGCGTGGGAGTGTGAGAGGGGGAGAGGTTGGCAAACATTTTAGGCTAACAGTTTATGCCCGAATGCCTTACCTTGTATTGTTGGAGCTTGGGCGAAAGTGCAGCACTGCAGCTGCAGAAAACATGTGAAAGGAATTTTTAAAGCAAAAAATTAAAATTAATAACAAAAAAAGTTATATTTTCTAATTATCTATTTATTTTCACAGGCTTGCTAGGGATTTTCAGTTTTAAAAGCACAAAAAAAAAAAACAACAATCAGCCGCCTGCTTGGATTGCGGTCGCGCAAACGCTTTAAAACGTGTGTTGACATTTTTAATTTTTATAGGAACCACAGAGATTTTTGTATAATTTCTAGAGGTTTTATTTAGAAAAGAATTTAAGTGTTATTCCAAAGAATTCTAGTCGCAGACTAAAATATTTCCAGTCGATACGGCAAATCATGACAATGCTCGGCCTACTTGATCTGAAAGTTCATAAAAATAGTGTTACATATGTTTCTGTCCGAATTTTTCATGCAACGACTGTTTTATTCTGCTTTTAATATGATTCATGTTCATGTCATTTATTCGCGATTAATATGTTAAATGCATACAGATGCAAATAGTTAAATACGTGTGAGGAGACTGAAGAGATTGGTCCTTGGGCTGAGCAGGCGGTTGGTTGGGTGTTTGCACGTTTGGTGGTTACTTGTCAGCGGCCAGTTCCATCCAGCGGGGTCTGTACCACGGCAGCAAGCGGTTCGGCAGGCGCTTCTTGAACTCACGTAGGGTGCAGAGTTCCAGCGCACAATAGTGGATGTTGCAGTTCATGCATCTGTTGCACGAACAGGTAAGTCCTGGCGCACACCTGCTCTCCTCCTGGTTGAAACATGTCTCATTCACCTGCAGATAGCAAAAGTGCCGCTCCACGCAATTGTCCCGCTTAAGAGTGAAGAAACTTTTGGGACATTGGGTGATGTCGTCGCTGCCTTCTCGGCATGGCCTTGTCTGAAGATCCCTGGATGGAAAAATTATCAAATTAATTACCAAATATACTACGAACGTGGTATGTGCGGCTAACTTACATGGCGCTGCAGTGGTGCCAGATGACGAAGAGCAGCACAGATGTCTGCAGCAGAAGTCTGACCAGACGGAACTGCACGTGGGTCTGCATTTTCAGAGGTCTCCTATCCATCGCCGGCTGAGCCATGTCCTTTTATACCCGCCGCCACAGGCCCACCAATTGGATTATAATTTATGTAAATGATTTAGCATAGATTAATTGAATTCCCAATCGAACCATGGTCATCCAGTCGTGAGCGCTGTGGGTCAATGGCGCTTCCTTCACGGAGTGGAAGGCTGCAAAGGCGTTTGCCTCTCAGACTGACAGCCGCAATAATCGGTACAGATGTGGAGGTCAAGTGCAATTAAATCAAATAAAATCTCTGTGGTTAATCCATTTTATTGTGGATATTTTGAATATTTTAAAATCTAAGGAAAGAGTTCCATCTGAGAAGAAGTTCGCCGGGTTTCGTATCAATCCTATCCGGAATGAAAGGCCGCAAAGGTGTTCCCGTAGACAATTTGTGGACAGCGTAATTAATTCAAATCGGTTTCATTCCAAGCTGCACTGGTGCTGAAACTCCCTTAAATACTGCGCATTTATTCGGAATCCTTTGTTGTCGACCAAGAGTATCAGGTCTTGTATGAACACAGCAGTTCTCAACGGATCTTGGCGGTACCTGAAATATTACAACTAGTAAAATTAAAGAATAAATGAACAGTGTAATGTGTTAAACCCACCATACGCGAATTGTCTCCTTTATCTTTCTGCGAAAAATGCATTTTCCCAGGTAGGGGCACACAACGAACTCGTCAAAAGCAAATGTGGAATAATACTTAAAGAATTCGAATAAGATCTGGCGTGTTTGGTTTTCGTTCACTTCAATTTCCTTCATGCCAAACGTTGACAATGGAAATTCGTTAAAATTGGATGTCCATGCTGCGATTTCGAAACAAAAATATGTAAGTACCCAAGTAAATAATTTTGTTTTGTATCCAAAGCATTTCTACTTACGTGGGATATTGGGAAGAAGACCTGCCTGAAGTTCTTTAACGGCTGGTAGATGGCCCTGCACTTGCAGGAAGAATATCACCAGCAATATGAAGATGTGGCTGCGAAAGTATTTTTTGATGCCGTGCTCTTGGGACCAGGCACGCAGAAATATCACCATGTAGCGAGCTGCGGGAACAGAAAGTTCAAGTTTGCTGCACGTTCATTAGTTAACACCCACCCATGGGCTGCAGCTTGAAGATGTAGTTGACCAATTGGTTCTGATCACAGGACATGCTGTTGAGGAAATTGATGTCGCATTTGATGTTCGTCCCCTTATGCAGGACAGTGACGAGTGGAAAATATCGGTCATTCACTTTTTTAAGATCCCAATCAGATCCATTCTCTAGGATCGCGTTCGTGATCCTGTCCAGATTCGACATCACTTTCGGGGTAAGCTTCTCGTTATATACATCACAAGAGTTGCCTGTCAGGGTACGCAGATATTAGTCGGGACACACACACACAAATGGAATGGTAATTACCTAAAACTACCAAAATATCTAAATCCGATTCGAAGCTGCCCACGCCCATTATGCGAGAGCCAAACAATCTCACCTCGAACGGCATATTTAGGGGGAATTTCCACTGCAATGTCTTCTTTAAATCGTTTTTTATGATTTCGCTTAGCTTCGAATTCTCCTGAATGGCTGCGGCCTGCGCCACATGTTCCAAGAGGTTTTGCCAGAAGTTCTCCGAGTCTTTGTGAATGATTAAAATGTGTAGCATGTGGTGCTATGCTATGTTGCAGCAATTATTTAACTATACTTACTTAGACCCATTTTATTTTATTTTTATTTATGAAAATGAAAAATCCAAAGAATGCGATTATCCCCGAATTAAAAGCGTGTGTTCAATGTGACCAAAGTAGATTCATTACGAACCCATTGACCCAGTGGGGCCACATTGAAACACGGGAATACTGTCCCGGGACCCGTGAAACAGCGGCTGATTCATTAATACCACCGATTCTGATATATCGAAGAATATATGGAATGCAGTGTAATAAATTGTTAAAAAATTTAAAAGAAGAATAAATATAAGCTGAGTAGCGTCATGACTGCATTCTAAAACGATATTGGATAGGTACAGATTTTGAAATAATTTGTTACTTAAGGGCAACACTGAGTGTGGTAACACTGGCTGTTTGTTTACATTTTGCAGCGTGGTTTGCTGTTCAAACTGCCTTATATTTTCTTTGAAGCTGCTTTTAGATTGTTGCTAACGCCCTCGGCTAATATGCCCTTTATTTCAGTGAACAACTAAAGAGAGAATCGCTCGTGGCAGCTGATAAGATGTGTTCCGATTAGAGAAAGATTACCGGAAATTACGTTATTACGTTATTTACGTTATCTTCTGGGCACCTCGCTGGCCCGGCCCTGCATCAGCGTGGCCCTGATGGAGGTGGCGCGTCAATACAATGCCAAGTACCTGGCCCATGGCGCCACCGGCAAGGGCAACGACCAGGTGCGCTTTGAGCTCTGCGCCTATGCACTCAAGCCGGATCTGAAGGTGGGTCTAGCAGCGGCTTGATAAGCCAATCTAATCAATGCCTTTGATTATCTTTGAACGAGACACGTTGTTAATGTTTCTCTCGAACTAACTCAGATCATCGCCCCGTGGCGCGACGTGGAGTTCTGTCGGCGCTTTCAGGGGCGCCAGGATCTCATAGCCTATGCCCAGGCGAATGGCATTGAGGTGAGCGCCAAGCCGTCCACTCCCTGGAGCACCGATGCCAATATCCTGCACATTAGCTACGAGTCTGGTGTGCTGGAGAATCCCAATACGGTGGCACCGACCAGCCTCTACGAGATGACCGTCGATCCCTTGGTGGCAGCCCCCCGACAGCCCGTCCGTGTTGTCATCCATTTTGAGCACGGTCTGCCCACCAGTGTCGAGGACGTGGCCGGCAAGTTCGTCTATCGCACACCCCTGGAGATGCTGAAGTTCCTCAATGTTGTGGGCGGCTCCTATGGCATCGGTCGCATCGACATTGTCGAGAATCGCTACGTGGGACTCAAGTCACGTGGTGTCTACGAGACACCGGGCGGCACCATCCTCTTCACGGCGCACCAGGATCTGGAGGTATTCGCCCTGGACCGCGAGGTGCTCCGCACCAAGCAGGTGCTGCGCGATCGCATGACCGACTATGTGTACAATGGCTTCTGGTTCAGTCCCGAGGCCATCTATGCCCGGCGCTGCATTGAGCTGGCCGAGCAGCGGGTCTCGGGTCAGGTAACCATTGAGCTGGCCCCCGGCTATTGCCGTGCCATTGCCCGCAAGGCCTCCGCGGCTGGCGGTTCGCTGTACAACGAGCAGCTCGTGTCGATGGACGTGCATGGCGGATATGTGCCACAGGATGCGGGTGGCTTCATAGCCATCAATGCGGTAAGGATACGGGAGCATGTGCGTGCCTTTGGACCGTATGAAGTGGCCAAACAATCGAAATGATTTTTGATCTAAACAAATGAATGTGGATTGAGGGAGAACTTTTCATAAACCTCTCGTTTATCTTGTACCGAAAACGATGTCTTAAATTCCAGCAGACTCTATTTCTATTCTATGTATTCCATGGCACATATTCGTATCCGTATCTCTGTCTGTAGTTTGTAGTTTGGTTATGTACATAATTTCCATGGCAATCAATTCGTGTGTTTGTTTAATAAATCTGCAGTTCGACGAGACTCACTTGTGTGGGTGGGGAATTGGAATACACTCGTACATATGTACATACATACACATCTAATGAAATACTCGCATACAAATAAATGTAGGTATGTACATATATCATTTCCCATATTTGAGTGCCAAGCAGGAGAGCAAACAATAAGAAGAACTCTGCTCTGTGTGGGATTTCCCAATTGCATTAATCTTACTTCCGGTGTTGCTCAGCTCAGCTCAGCTCAGGTCCGGGCAAAAGACGGAGAGCTAAAACAAAAGATGCTTTTCCTTCTGTACATAAATGCAAAAACTAATATTATTACAACAAACATACACAAACATACAGCAACAACAATAGGAGCAGCAGCAGCAGCAGCTGCAGAGACGGAAACATCAGCTGTGATTGTATTTCTGACTCGTTAGATATTTATGTGTCCCTCTGTCTGTCCATCCATCTGTCTATCTGTCTGTACGACTGTCTGTGTGTGAGCTTCTGTTTACCCATCGACAACAATTGATGATGGGAGCCGGAGCCGAGTTTGTCCTGCATTCAGAAGCTCATAGCAATGCCATGCCATACGCTGGCAATTTTCGGCAGAGATTTGACAGATACCCCAAGTGAAGAAAACTTGTTTGGCAGGTAAGAAAAAAACTCCAAAGAAAACTTATGGCAGAGATGAAATGAAAGAAAGTTAAGGTGAACACCACTTTATCACTTCTCCTTTTGTGTCTGTTGGCTCAAAGGATGTCTGTTTGCTTGTGGCAAGAGCAGAACTAGCAGCTGATTAAAACTGTTATTGCTAAATTCAATCAACTTTCAAGCTTAAATTATATGTAGCTAGAAATACTCCGAGTTCGGTATTAGGTGCAGGAGCCACAGCCAATAAGTTTTCAAGCATAAGAAATGAATGGCAAAGGTCCCACAGAGCCACCTCAGAGACAATTCAGCCTTCAGTTCCTACACAGTTTTCGGAAGAGGAGTCGGCCAGAACCACCGCCTGCTGCCACCCAACTTAAGCAAAGTCCAATTGAAGGAGCTCAGGGGTCGGGACCTCATGCCAATGGTGCAGGCAGCTGTAGGAGCCGAGTGGACGAGGGGACGAGGAACAGCACAGCACGCGTTCCTATCAAAACAATGAGGAATAATTAAAATTCGCCCTCAAACAATTTGTAAGCTTTTTGGCGGAAGTGAGGCGAGCAGCAGGAGCAATGGTAGGGACTCACCGACTTCATGGGTATCTATGGGGGGTCTATATGTATATCCACCCTAGATGAGTGGGTGTGTGTGTCTGTGCTTGTGTGTGTGTGTGTGTGTGTGAGAGAAAGGAAGGAGGACGGACACATGCTCATAAATAAATTTATGTTTGCTGAAGTGTATTGGGCGGTGCCCGAGCTGGTTCCAAGTTCTCAGCTGCCCCATAAATTTCTGGTTGTTCTTGCCAGCTATACCCCGCACACTCACCACACCCCTCTGACAGCTTTCAGCCAAGAGCATGTAAGCTGAAAAGAGATAGAAATGAGTGTGGTGAAAGGGATAGAAATGCAGAGAGAGAGAGAGAGAGAGAGGAATGGAATTCTATTTTTGCAATTATAGGGAATTCTGTTTTGTTGCTCTTCCTCTGGAGCTATCTTGGTGTGTTTTTGTGTACTTTTTGACTAAATCAATTTGCCCAAACAAGAAACATTGAATTAATCTAAGAGATGCCTGTAGTAAAGGAGTGTATCTGAGTATCTTGGGCAAATTAGCACCCATTTAATTGCTCGCTTTAAGCCGCATTTACTCCCTCTCTCTCCCTCTCTCGCCCTTTCTCTCTCTTTCACGCTCCTCTTGTTAATCATATTTTACACTTTTCACAAAGTTAACCTTTGATTCAATTTATCAACTTCAATAAAAAGTACAGCACGAAAAAACAGCAACAACTAAGGGAACGCACACAGAAGGGCCACAAAAACCATAGTAGAAAGAGAGAAAGAGATAGAGAATGAGCGAGAGAGATACAATAAGAGAAAGAGAGAGGTAGACAGGCGGTAGATTTTTCGTAAAAGTTGCGCCTGCGATTCGCACAAGGACTAACGACATCCTTTGAACGCTTGCAAATAATCCCACAAAAACCGAGAGCTTAACTTTTTCCCCAGCATTTATGCAGAGTTTGCCGTGAGAGAGAGGGGGCTGAGGTAGGGCGGACTGGTTGCATTCGCTTATATTTTTGGGGGTGGCCGAAAGTCCCTTTTTGCAATTTTCGCAGTTTAGCACAAAGTTGAAACGTCAACGCTGTCTGATTCTGATCGTATGCCACACACACCGACACACACACAAACACCAGCAACAAAAGGCAACATTGTCCCAGCTACTGATGGATGGATGGCCACATATGGGATGGCCTCCAGCCGGGGAATGGAATGAGGATGCCGATATGGGCTCAAACCGAACGGAGTTGGTCCACTGACTCGGTGGTTATTGAGGTTCGGCTCGCGTTTTTGTGTCCCTATCAGCCGCTGCGATACGCCAGGCCAGCAGTCAAAGGGCGGTGTTTTTTTTTTGGCTCCTGGTTCACGCAAACCACAGCGAAGGCATCCCATTGATGTCTGGCATGGAATATCGGTAAAAACCTGTGGAAACATGAGAGCGAGCTGCAATCCTGCTACTTAGCGGAGTGTCAGTGGCACGGGGACATATTTTCAGGCAGTTTTTGTGCCTCTTAAAGTCAGGTTTTATTTTTACTCTTTTTCAGGAGAGTTGTACCTCTTTCAGGATGGTAATAACTCTTTCTGCGGATGTTTCCCCCCTTTCTCTTGGCATTTGATGCATTTTCAGCTTATTAAATCCACGTAAATCATTTCTATTTTATTTTTTTGGAATGGTTTTTGCCGCCCCTAGCCAAAGTCTTGACCCCTTTCGAAAGCTTTGATTTTAATTATCACGCAGTTGGCATTCGCACAGCTGCGTCCTTTGCCGTCTCCTGCGCTCCTTGGCGGCGCCAAAACTATCCGGCAAAAGGAATTTTATTATTGAAATTTGTTTGCGCGGACTTTGTTGTCCCCATCCACGGTCCACGGTCAACTCTGGCTGCTGCTGCTGCTGCTGCTGGCGCTGCTGCTGGATGCATTCTCATTTTGTAATTAAGTGCAGACAGAAGTTGAAATCAGGTCACTCATACGCCCCATTGGCCGGACGGTGCGACGCTGTGCTGTCCATGAGAAAACTTAATTTTTCCAAATGAATTTTCGCTATCCCAGCAGAGGCGCAATGGCTTTTCAAATTATTACACTTGGCAGGGAGAGGAGAAAAAGTAGACAAGGAGGGCCGGGTCTCGTCTCCTGGCAACAGCTGTAGCTAAGTTTTTTTGAGCGCTAAACTAATTAATTTGTTCACTTTTTTGGACAGGCAAAGAGACAGCCACGTGATATCCCCTGATATTGTTTTTGAGATACTTTTTTTTTGTGTGTGTGTGCCAGGTAAATATGCAAATCGTAGTGGAAAAAGTTTTTCACTGCAATTGAAATGGAGTTTTAAAGTTGGAATCCCAGTTTAATGCATTACGCTTTCCGCTTGCTCCTCTCCCGCTTGCATTTTGCCAGCTAGAGGCGGCGAAACACAAGGTAAATATACACAAATAGCAGATAGAATTTTCCGGAACAGAACACAACACAACAGAACAGAACAGAATGTTGCCCCTGCCAACGGGGCAGGCAGTGAGCGTGCAGCGTGTAGCATGAAGCGTGGAACGTGGCCAGATTATGCTGTATTATCACCTGTAAATCCTTATTGGCAATCAAAACTTTTCCCTACAGCCCACCCGCTGCCCACTGTCCTATGTCTTTCTCTCTCTCTCTCTCTCTCTTCCTTTTTCTATGGCTCCATGGCCCGTATTTTGCCTGATGCTAGTCCGAGTATTTTGTATTTGCTACTTTCAATGAAATCTGCAAAAATCTGTGCATGCAGCCTGAAACTTTTAATTTTATTGGAAAACTTGTTGAATTTTTTGCCGTTTTGCTGTTGTTTTTAGGGGGCCTGTATAATTTTGTTCTTTTTATTTGTAGCCGCTGAGTGGACACGCGGGGCATCGAAAAGTTGAAATCTGTTTTCAGCCAAAATAGTTGCTACGGGACGCCCAAAGCAATTACGGAGGCATTATGATGATGATGATGATGATGATGACAGAGGGAGGAGCCTCTAAAGGATTTTCGATATTGCATGGAGATTACGTTCCACTTTAGTTTTTGTTGCTGGATCGCAAAACGAGTTCCAGTTTTAAGTGTCGTAAAAACGAAGTTTCAAAGTGCAAAATTGTACTATCTCGTTAAGGGATAGACTTTATGGTACCTAGGGAGTTTTTGTGCAATATTTAAGAGTTGATTAAGCTGTGTTTTGGTTCCATTTCAGTGTATTCTTCTGCTGACTCAAAGAAGAGAAGAAGAATCATGGAGAGCAGAGGAAGACTCAGTTTCCAAAAAGATTTACCCACTTTGAAGGCGATTAAGATTCACAAAAAAAGCGGCTCGGCACTGCCAATCTCAATAGTTTTTGCTGCTGCTTCCAAAAACTCTGCTCGAAATGATTTCACCTGCGCCTTTTCCCCGTGAAGCTAATCACGAGTGCATCTGCCGCTCACAGCATTCTGGTGGCAGTTGACAGAATGGCAGAACCGCATCACATGGCGCAGCACCGCAGCATATTTCCGTCACCGATTGCCTGTCGATTGGAAGGGGGCGTGGGGTGGTGCGGTGGTATGCTGCCTGGTTCCCATTGGCATTAAACTGCAAATCCGCAGTCGAGCAATTCTCGCATGTAATGCTGATGTCGACATTTTACTGCTGCTGCAACTGCCACTGCCAGTGCCAGTGCTGCTGCTGCTGCTGCCACTGCTGCTGCTGCTGCTGTTGATGCGGGCTCGTGTTTTGCCACAACAGCGCGCCAGTGCCAGGCAGCGACACCTTCTGTGGCAACAAGGCTGCTAGTGCAGACATCTCATCGCAGTTCCATGCCCCAGCCTTCACCCCCCCAACCCAACACTTGTAAGCT